TTGAGTACACGGTTAGAAAAAAAGTACCCAATTCTTATGTGCAGTTAGGATCCTCTAGAATTGGCAGAATCTGAGTAAACCAGTTTTATTACAATGAGTAAATGTACCCAAATTCTGGGGAAATGGTTATAATCGCATGTTTAGAATGGTGCAGGTATAAGATTATTGCGCACCTCCGTTAATCTGAACGACACTTCGTGCATATTAACGGGGTTTATTTTTATTTTGAACTTCTTGTAACCCTATGACCATTAGAAATTTGAGTTTCTAGTAGCCTTATTTGCGGTTTTGTTTTGATTCTGCGTTCCATTTTGCATCGTTTCATTTCGCTTTAAGTCTCAAGCGCAATTACAGCGGCAGCGCGAAAAGCGAAAAAGTCCAATCTGAGTAAGCCTACTTGTCAGATTGAAAACTATTTAGAACAAAATTGACTCCGGTTAGGCATCTTGATGTAATTTGTGGCAACTTTTAAACTGCTCATAAAGACGATAATGAATAAAAACTGAAAATTTTCATGCATTTCCAAATGGTTTCCTACCATTCCCATACATTCAAAAGTGACTGGCCCTCTGGATGTGGATGATGTCAAAAACAACAAAACATGATTAATTGAGTACATGGGACTTTACTTACTTTTGGCCAGGGCTGGCAAATGTCATTTTCAATGAAAGATCTCACGCGATATTTACAGAGATACTTCAGTCACTATCATCGCATGAGAAAACGATGATAGAGATTTTCTTCAAAATCTCATCGAAGTTTTTGTCATGACAGAACGTGACAGTGTTGTGATCATCGTAATTACTAGCTCATTTATTGCTATTAGAGTTACTTGTACTGAGGAAATCTTAATAATATATTCACTCTACCGATTACATACGGTTGCTTGCTTAAATTCATCTAAATGAGTTATACCCTGTTCACATTACAGCTTATATCACGTAATATAGACTGTCTTGCAATGAGCACTCATACATAGGATTTCCAGTGAAAACTAGATGTATGAGTGCTCATTGCAAGACAGCGTATATCACGTAATATACGCTATAATGTGAACGGGGTATTAGAAATGTTGATGTCAAAACCGCATAAGAATTATTCTCATGAGTGCCTCTGTTCTCATTGTCAAATGACGGCCGTGATATTTATCAGCTCTGCTTTTGGCTTCCCACATAGTATCTAGTTGGGTGAAATAAACTTTTTTTCCTTGATTTGTTTTCCGTACTGAGTAGCTATGCTACCGACACCAGAGAAGCAGCTCCCAAACACACCCTTCGTGATCAGAGATTTTGTACCTCAGAATATCCCGGCGGCGCTTGAGATATAAACTTAATTTTGGCTATTTTTTTCTTACCGTGTGTAAAATTTTACTCAACAGTGAGTTTGTTACGCTCAATTTACAGTGTACTAGTCACCTTTCGTGTCATTAGAGCCACTAGTGTCGGGAAAAATCGTGTCTTGGGGATAATAGAAGAGTGAACCATATTGGCCAGCAGGGTTGCTACCACTCACTTGCTATAAAAAATATTTTTCTGAATTATGCAATCACTATCTGATATAATGATTGGTTGTACTTGTAAATAACAAGAAGAGGGTGTAAATTATGTGTTTGATTCATAAAACCTGTCAATTTTGCTTTCAGGGCGTCACAATCAGCGATCTTATGATTCGTGAGCGTTCACTCAGAGTGAGCGCTCACGAGTCGTAAAATCGCTGATTGTGACGCACTAAAGGCAATATTGACAGATTTCATGTGTCAAACACATACTTCACGACCTCATCTTGTAGCTTACACATTCTATTCATCATTATACCATCTCACGATTTCATAATTAAGAAAAACATTTTTTTATAGCGAGTGAGTGGCAGTAACCCTGTTGGCCAGAACTTCACTGGATCTTTGTGAGCCTTAATGAAAGGTAGTATACATTTCTCCAGGCACTCTTGCTTATACAGCTTCGAGTCCATCTATTGGTGATGAAAAGCTTGGTATTGAGTCCGCAGCTGCAAATTCCTTGCCTTCGGGCAAATTTATCTGCGAAAACAAACATGAATTTGCTGAGGATATCACCCCGTGCTGTGGCCAGAAAAAAACTTTTAACCGGGAACAGGCAATTTTCAATTTTTTCGCGATATTTCTAATTGACTTTCACCTCTGAAACACACACACTTAAAAAAATAAATGTAAATTTAGGTGCTCTGAGACTAACACATACTTGTGTAAATTTTGACATAAAATTTAGTCATAATAGGCGCGAAATTCAGCTCAATCAAACGTCATTTCGAACATTTCAGTCTCGGAGCACTTAATTTTACATTACATGTTTTTTTACGTCTCATCCTTTATGTCAAAGATGGATTCCGTCACGTGTAAGATTAGGTATTTCTTAGTGTGTGGACCAGACTTTATAAGTGGGTAAACCAGCAAAATGAGGGATAAAACATCGTGCTTTCAAATAATGTTCCTGCACAGAAAAACAAAACTACCCACCGCTTGGGTTTTTTAAACTCAAATTTGAGTTATTTGACCTCAGCCCGTTTCATTTTCTCTCGCTATTGTTGTCAAAAATAGTTCACACAGTTCAAAGAAGTACACACTTAGAAAAAATCATGTAAATTTAGGTGCTCTGAGAGTGATCTATACGAGCGTCAATTTTGACATCAATTTGAGTCATAACACACGCAAAATAACGCTCATTCAAACGTACTTTTCACCGAGCAATGAATTTTTCAGTCTCGGAGCACTTAATATTACGTTACTGTAAAATCGATCTTTCCTTATGTGGTATTGATGCAGGTTTAACTTTTCATGGCTGTCGGATTCAACGCGCCTACGTCTACGGAGCTTACGCAGAAGTGGCTCGCAATTCGGTAGAGCTTACCAAAAGTTTTTTTTTTTTTGAGCTTATGTAGTTTGTAGTTTACGGTTGCGAAATTTTGAAATGATTGATAAGTACGGTAAAATAACTAATTCGAAACACAGCTCAATAGTAAAATTAGTGGAATATCTAGGGAGGGAACCAAAATTAATCAACTTGCCAACATAGGCTATCACATTTATTATGGTGGCACTCTTTAAGTGATAATAAGCTGTTTTTTTTTCTCTACGGATGTTTCGCGCGGCGTTCGCAATTTGCGCGATTTTCGTATCTTACGTAATTTAGATTTTTAGCTCTAAACGGTTTTACTGATTCGAGGTTATTCCTTAAACGGTTTTGATGTATGTTAAACCATTGACGGCTGTCGGATTAAACGTCTACGGAGCTTACGCAGAAGTGATACGCAATTCAGTCGAGCTTGTCAAACGCTTTTGAGCTTATGTAGTATAGAATGTGTGAATTGATTCGTCCGTTAAATTAACTAATGTGATACAAAGCTCTGTAGTAAATAAATTGTATATCCAGGGGTGCAACCAAAATTAATCAACTTGCCAATATAGACTATCACATTTATTTTGGTGACACTCTTTAAACGGTAATAAGCCTTTTTTTTCTTTCGCTTCGGTTGTTTTGCACGGCGTTTGGAACTTACATAATTCAGATATTTCGTTCGAAACGGATTTACTTATTCAATATGATTACTACGTGGATGTATCTACGCGCACACGTCACAGCATTTTTTATAACTATTTTGAAACAATACTTACGGAATCCCGTGTTCAAGCTGCCAACATAAGCTAGTCCTTCTGTTTTATTGTCAAAGATAGAAGCAAAATTTATTCAAATGGGTCAAGTCTTGAAAACAAAGCTGTCACCCAATAAAAAATAATAATAACATACAAATTCCTATTTAGCGTGAAAAGAAATAGAATTTTACACTCATGAATGATTCCATCACCAGTGATATTCCTGTTACCTCAATTCCAGCGAAATTAATTTTTTTAAACAATTGTTTCAACATAAATGCTTGCTCTGCACATTCCTTCTACCATTCCATTTCAGATATATTCGAACCGGGAATGTATGCCGCCAACCTCAAAGCAAAAGTAATTATGCCAGGCAGCTTATACCGTTAAGTCAATCTTTTTATGAGACAAGCCTAAAAGGGCGTTAGTTTGTCTCGAATCATAACATAATCCTCTTAACGTCCAAAAATTCAGCAAAACCAAATTAATTTCACCTTGTTCCAGCCACTCGCTCTCTACGAACTATGCTTGAATAATTAAATTCTGCACAACCTCGATATCATCGCGTTATTTTATCCCTTGCATCCAGGCACTGGCACTGGCAGACTATCAGTTTTATCAGTCAATTTCCTCCGTGGACTAGCACTGTAGGGAATAATCGAAAATTTTCTGCTGTTAACGATATCGTAAATCATTATAATTGCACAGAGCTCCGGAAGGAACATCATTATGCAAACACCGCACCAGTCACCATTGTGCGTTGTATCAACTGGTTAAATTAATCTTCAATAAACACGTCTAGCCACGACTGACATGCCAGATCAGCTGCTAGGATCTGGTGTGGTTAAAAATCGCCTCAGAACATGGCTATCGGTATACCACAAAATCACGCTGTTAAAACATAGATTTTGTCAAAAACTTTTTTAAAAATTATTCATTCAAAAGAAGAGTTGATCTTGGAATACAGCCGAATAGCATTTGAATGAAATTTCAACTAGTTTTCCGTCAGTGCAATTGTTGCGAGTCATTCGAAAGTAAAGTGTTTGCTGGTAATTGTAAAATCCTCGTCGTAGATTATGGGAACTTCGGAATTCTGAATATTCTGTTGTAACACTTTTAGCTTTTACACACACTCTTTATTTTCGTTAGCTTCCAACCTTCTCCTCAACTCCTCCGTCTCACTTTTCCTACGCTTCTGGCTACCGCCTTATGCTTGGCTTTGTTCATGCCCTATCTGCGCTATCTGTATGTCATACACTGATGGTAAACAACACATGTTAGATATCACACTCCCCTTTTACTTAGAATCAAAATCAACATTTGTTACATATTCCTTCAAGTATCTGGGCGGTTTTGAATTGCGACGATCACGTACCTTTTCAGTTGGCATCTGGTCTTCATTTTCCTGTGGTGTATCCTTCACTAGAGGATTATCAGTGCCTTCCTTTTGCTTTACTGGGTCAGCTTCGGGTTCATCATGTGTTTCTAAAACAATCGGCTTCAGATGAGAAACGTTTCGGTTGTAAGTTTTTCCTGTCGATCTAGAGCAGATTTTGGCTTCTGATCCTGAGCGGCTGATGACTTCAAACAGCTCTGATCCAAAATTGCTGGACAACTTATACTCTCTCATAGTCCGTTTCGCTATCACCAAATCACCAACCTTCAACGTATTTTCCTTTGCATCTTTCCGTTTGTTCGTTGACTCCGCTGCCTGTAGTTTTAAACTCCAATCTCGGTCTCTTATCCCCTCAGTCATTTGGTCCACTCTTCCCGTGACACTTGGCAGTTTATCTCTTAGGATCCTTCCGAACATCAGCACTGAAGGAGCAACTCCAGTTGTAGTGTGTGGTGTGGAGTTGTACATAAGTAGAAAGTTTCTAAGGTCCCATCTCCAGTCAGCATTTTGCGATTCTTGACTTATGCGCAAACGTTTCAAAATTGTATTGTTCATACGCTCGACCTCTCCATTGGCCTGTGGCCAATATGGGGTTGTTCGCTGCTGCTGAATGCCGAATTCCTTGCAGAACCTTTTCATTGATTCACTTATAAATTGTGGCCCGTGGTCAGATCGAAGTATATCCGGAATTCCGAAACGACTGAAAGTTTCGAAAAGAGCCTTCGCCGTTAACTCTGCTGTTGTCTGCTTCATGATAATGACCTCCGCAAACCGACTAAAGTAGTCAATCAGCACTAGCAAATTGTATCCATTAGGAAGCGGTCCCAAAAAATCAATGGCAACCTCAGACCACGCTTTTGTAGGCATCTTGGTTCTTTGCATAGGCTCGGGAGGTCCAACCGTTGACACCATGGTGCAAAGATTACAACTTTTGACGTATTTATCCACTTGGTCGTCCATTTTCAACCACCACACTTTTTGACGTAGACGGCGTTTCATAACGGTCATCCCAGGATGTCCATCATGTGCGCATACAATAACTTGAGATCGAAGAATTTCTGGGATGACTAAACGATCTCCCCGCATGATAACTCCAGCCGCCGTGTGAAGCTCGGTTTTGAACTGCTTATAACCCTTGACGCTCGTTGGCCATACATCTGTTTCCAAAGCTTGCATAAGCTCTTGGAGCGTCGTATCATTCTTGGTCGCTTGTATGACATCATTTAATACTACAGCATCGGAAATTGAGTGTTCTATCAACTGACGAATGTAGGCATCTGTTGATATGTCGAATGCTTTCGGGGAACGCACCGACAATCGAGATAACGAATCAGCGAGATTACTCGATCCTGGTTCGTAAATAATCTCGTAATCATAAGCCTGAAGCCGCAAGACCCAACGCTCGATTCTCGGACAAGGGCGTGATCGAGGGTTAAAAAGATATTTTAAAGCCTTACAATCAGTAATTAGTTGAAATCGTGTCTGAAAGTATTTACGCTCCAGATCAGTTAACGCCTTGCTAGCAAAAGCGATTATTCTGGTTTCCCCTTTCTCGTTTTCCTGCAAAAGTACGGCACCCAAACCTTCCGGGCTTGCATCTGTCACTAGTTTTGTTCGGTCACCACGATTGAAGAACCCCAGATATCCGATGTTACACACTGCTGCTTTGATATCTTGGAATGCTGCATTTTGTTCCTGTTTCCACCGGAATATTGATCCGGTTCGCAGAAGTTTCCGCAGCGGTTCCGTTTTGCCAGCAAGGTTAGACACAAATCGACCAACATATGTAACCAAGCCTAAGAAACTTCTAAGTTCCGAAACATTTTTAGGTTCTCGGAAACATTTTATGGCCATGACCCGGTTTTCCGTTGGTTTCACTCCCTCCGAATTCAGAACGTGTCCTAGGAACTCAATTTCGGTCACACCATATACGCATTTTTGCTCGTTAAGCAATACACCATATTGCTCCAGCCTCTTGAGCAACGCTTGTAACCTTTTATCATGCTCTGCTCTCGTTTCGCCGAACACTACAATGTCGTCTAGATATATAATTATCCCTTCTAATCCGGCCAAAATGGCTTCCATAGTTTTCTGGAAAATTTCTGGAGCACACGAAACGCCGAACATCAACCTCTCATATCTATAATAGTACAAACAAGAATAAAACAGGTGCTGTTATACAGTTTATTAATTTTATTTTACATCTCCTTCAACTGATTGTGCAAAAAAAAACAAAAAAAACAAAAGTTCGCATTTCCCTCACGAAAACAAATTATCAATAAACATCAAGCGTCATCTACCTGTACAGCCCGGTCTTCGTAATAAATGTGGTGATTGGTCGTGACTCCTTAGAAATCTCCATCTGATGATAGGCCTCCTTTATGTCAATTTTAGAAAAAACAGTCGCTCCATCAACGGATCCCAACAGCTCGTCCACCAAAGGCAAAGGATGAGCCTCCCTCAAGACGGCTTTGTTTGCCCGACGCATGTCGATGCACAGCCGAACATCTCCCGAGTCCTTCAGTACAGGAACTAGTGGTGAGACCCAAGGAGATGGTTCGTGAACTCGCTCAATTATCCCTTGCGTAAGCAGCATATCCAATTTTTCCTCCACCTTGTCTTCCAGAGCATAAGGAACACGTCGATAAGCTTGGCGAACGGGCTGAACGTTCCGGTCCACTGGTATCTCAACGACAACATCCTTGATCTTTGGAAATTCTATCGTAGCTTCCTCCGAAACACGGCCGACGTCAAATCCAATTTTCAAAACATAGAGTGATTTGGCTGTCTCATCTCCTAGGAGACATTGCTGACCTCTCTTTGCAACATAGAATTGTGCTTCCGTCTCATGCCCTCCGCCCGCAATAGTTGCCGTAAAGCAGCCAGTAATTTCCATTGGTTCCTCTGATCCGTAACACGTAAGAGCACGGTCAATTTCAGTTGCCATGTTCCGAACCACAACTCCCTTTCGCTTCATGTCCATCCATGTTAATTGATTTATTATATTTGCAGCAGCTCCGGAATCAATTACCATGGGTATTTCCACTCCTCCCACAGAGAATGTAAAGGTGTTGTTGCCCATAGCGTAAAACATATAATCGCTCTCCTTGTTATCTTCAGAACCAGTGTCCTGAACCACTCGTACCCTTTTTGCAGCTGGCTCTGATCGAGGGTCTCTGTTAGGGCGCTTGCGACATTGCCTCGCAAAATGTCCAATTCTTTTGCAATTTAAACACGCAGCTTGTTTGGCAGGACAGTATGCGGCTCCCATTACGTGACCACGACGACCACAGGCAAAACACACAGGCTCCGAGCGTTTTCCATTCCAGTTCCGTTGGTTTGACCGATATGCTTGAGTATTATCCCGCTTTATCCATTTTTGTCGCGCATTCAAGTCACGGTCCGGTTCGTTTACCATTTTCTTTCCAGATACTCTGTTCACATCTTCAGCTACTTTGACATCCTCAAAATCCTTCAGCTTTTTCTCACTTTCTTCCATGCTGGTTCCAATTGCCTCAACCTCTTCTAGAGTCATATCCTTCTTGAGCATCTTTTGGCGAAGCTTTACCGAAGCACATTTCTCAACGATTTGATCCAATATCATCTCATCTGGCTTTTCGTACTCGCACCGTTTGATTTGTGTTCTTAGACGTAGAACAAAATCAGAGAATCGCTCTGAAGGCTTCTGAGCGATTTGCCGAAACTGATGGCGCTCATAAGTCCGACGGCGAAATGGTTCAAAATGTGAATCCAATTTAGCAATAGTGGCATCATAATACGGCGGGTCACTCAAAACGTGTGATACATTACCACACTCTGGCAAATTGTCGTAGATGTCACGCAAATCCGAGCCTCCCAGGTACAGCAATTTTGATCTCCTGTCATATTGCGAGTCAATCTTTTCAGAATTGAAATACGCTTCCAAGTCTCGCTTCCACTTTGCCCACGCGACAGGCAGTTGAGAAGACTCAACATTTGTTTGGAAAGGTTTGATTCTACAATCCAAACCAGCCCTAAGACAACAAAATATGTAATGAAATCAATCATAATTTGACTCATTGCATTACAAGACAACTAACATCATTCATCTTTGCGGCTAAGTACTATATTATTATTGTATTGTGGTAAAGTAAACATCTTCCTATAGATCATTCCACACCCGCCAGTTGTGGACGGTATTTGACGACACCGTCGCTCGCTACTTGTCTAATATATGGCAAACCCGTAAATTTTACGATTTAAGGCGAACCCGCCACTTGTTTGATCTATGCACATCAGTCAATTTTTCGATTTATGGCGAACCCGCCAATTTTACGATGCATGGCGAACCCGCAACATTTCTAAACTTTGGCGAACCCGCCAATGTTACGATTTAAGGCGAACCCGCCACTTGTGTGATCTATGTACATTCTTCAATCTTTCGACTCATGGCGATCCCGCCAATTCTACGTTGTATGGTAAACCCGCCACTTTTACAATCTATGGCGAATCCGCCAATTGCCACGAACTATGGCAAACCAGGCAGTTGTCCGATTCATGCACACCTTTTTCGATTTAAAGCGAAACCGCCAATCCTACGTTTTATGGCGAACCCGCCACTTTACCAATCTATGGCGAACCCTCTCTTTCCACTATTAGAGAGAGAGAGAAAACTCATAGGTTCTATGTCGACCAGCCCAAATCACAGCCCAACTCCAACAAATAAAACAAGCAGCTGATTGTTTTGGAATTTTCATTCTTATTTATGTAAAATAACCTACCTGACCATTCTTCCTCTCTTCCCGCCATCCTCCGTGGAACGAACATCAAACAAAAACACCGTTCATGACACCGTCGGCTTTTCGAATTCCATCAAAATACACTCCTCTATACATAACCTGTATCATGACATCCATCAAATAACACAAAAACTAATCCGGGTGGCAGAATACTAGCCCCAAGCCCAACACAAACTGCGTTTCAGATGAATGATGTAAAAGTTGTCGAATGAAATTCCATAGCGCAATTCACTTCAGATATAAAAAAAATAAACTTACATTTCTCCTCGTCGCCAATGTAAAATCCTCGTCGTAGATTATGGGAACTTCGGAATCCTGAATATTCTGTTGTAACACTTTTAGCTTTTACACACACTCTTTATTTTCGTTAGCTTCCAAACTTCTCCTCAACTCCTCCGTCTCACTTTTCCTACGCTTCTGGCTACCGCCTTATGCTTGGCTTTGTTCATGCCCTATCTGCGCTATCTGTATGTCATACACTGATGGTAAACAACACATGTTAGATATCACAGTAATGTTGTGTATTAAATGTAAAATTTAGATCGATTCGTTATAGCTGTACTTTTGCCAAATTACCATTCCTTTAATAAAAAAAATTGTGGGGTTGTGTACAAGACACGACCGCAGGGTTGACGTAGACTACTTCAAGCTGTGTAGTGAAATTTTCGTGCATTTTTTCTAGATATTGATTTACCCAAATACAGTAGAAGTAACCTATGATTTCGGTACTATGTACATATTTAAACTTGGTTAAATTCAGGACCTCATAAAAATGCGAATACATATTCTATTTCATTTGGTTCCTAAATAACAATTAGATATGAGTAAGGCTTTCTTCAGGTGATTCATTGAAGCGTCCAAAAATGACCGTCTGATGGCTGATATTCCCTATCACTCTAGGACATAAATCTTGGACGGTTGTGACATCACTCATGAAATTGAAACTCCTTGTGTACTGGACGTGAAGGTACTGGACTGTACGTGAAGTTCCAGTTTCTTTGTTATAAGTTTTGTGAGAGCTGATATCTGTACCACAGACAAACAGACGTAACACTTCATTGTGTATCTTCGCTCACGCATTTAACGGTTGATTTAAATATTATCAGTTCCGCAAACTACTCGCCGCAGCGCTGGCATCGGATCACTTTGACATTTCTATACATTCTATAGAACTTTTATGCAATATCGTTTGCGAGTTAGCGAGCAGGCTTGTTTTCCGCGAGAAGCCCGGGAGATGTCGTTACTGAGGTCCTATGTTTTGAAATACTATGTTTTCAAGAAAAACTTTTTCAAAGAGCTACGTCTATTTGTCTGTGTCTGTACTCTTGAAATTTTTCTATGATAATGAGATTGATCCTCAGCGATTCAACTTCAAAACGCTAAAAATAAATGCACACACAAAAACGGAGTGCACAATTTTGCATCAATGTTATGCAACATTTCATAGTTGATCGAGATGTTATCAATTAGCCATGAATCCCTCCAATAAGTTCTCGGTACATCTTTTATCAACCGATTGAACAAATAAAAAAAATACGAAGGCTGTGTTCCATTTGGAAAATTTTCCCTTAGATTTGACACTTCGAAAATAAATTAAGATGTTCGAAAACCCCATTTGTTGTAGATCGGCCGATTTTCGAGAAAGCGTCTGTCAAATTGATTCCTTGTCTGTCAGAAATAAGTCTAGTGGAATGGCAGGTTTATTTGAAAATTTTCCATCTATAAAATTTAAGTAAACATTCACCAAATGAAACACAGCCTTAATAACTTGAGCACAGGATCGTTTCTTGTTGTGTAAAAACTTCTTTTATCGATATGTGTGCTGAAAATACCTGGGCCGAGTGGATTCAAGGAGAAAGTCGACGAAGAGAATCTTGTCAGTGTTACTTAGGACCTAATGCAATGTTCAGTTTGAATTGTTTCGCTTAGCTGTAAACAGAAAATCGATGAAGAGAATCGAACATTACAAGTAGGCCCTTTTGAACGCTCACTGTTGAATTTCAGATCCTAGCACTGAAAATAAACTCGACGATACCTCTATTTATGCTCTCTGCAAAGTCCCTCTTACTTGAAGAATTATGCAAAAAAAAACTGGTGTTGTATAAACCGTTCTATAGCATAATTTTCCAAGTATGAGGGACTTTCATAGCTATAATCTAAAAGCATAAATAGATGTACCGTCTGATAATTTATCACATTTCAAGACCAACAATTGAAATGGTCTTAACTTCATTTTGTAAACAAACCTTGTAAGACCATTTTCTCGCGAACCGAAGTCCGCAAAGGCAAACCAACATAATGAACAGGTATGGGAAATTTTCCTCTACCCGATTGTGGTTTAGGTTTGCGAATGAAGGTTTCGGTTCGCGAGAAAATGGTCTTACAAGGTTCGTTTACAAAATGGAGTTAAGGCCATTTCAATTATTGGTCTTGATTTATCCTTTTTATCACCACAGAAACACCCCGTTCCCGTTTTCTTATGCAAAATAATGAATGTGCGTTCACAAAACGCACGAAATCTTAAAAAAAACCATATTAATTTTTTTTTAATTCAATCAATAGATTAAAGATGTACCGAAATTAAATGGAGGGATTTCAAGCTAAAATGTTCTGATCGTGAAATATTGTCTGTCAATACCGAAATTTCGCATAAATGTCCAACCCATTTTATGTTGCCTAATGATTAGGGAACTTTCATAAATAACGCAGTAGTTGAGGGAGGAGAGGGGTTGGGCCGGCCATGTATTAGGTGTATTGCAAAACACGCTCTGAGGGGGAAGGGGGGTTAATTGGTCAAAAATATACTAAATTTATGGATGGCCCTAATTTTACTTCCAAGGCTGTGTCGCAATGGGTGTGTTGAATTTAACTCGTGTTTAAAAGTGACAGATGAATTATCGAATAACACGAGCGTGGTTATTTCGGACCGACTAGAAGTTAAATTTTGGTAACCGTGGCTGAGTTCTGTTTGAAAACCGATCAATTTCCGGAATTTTCGAACATTGATAATAACTTACGAAATGTCACGTTTAACCACGAGTTAAATGTAACTCGGCAATTGGTACACAGCCCAAGAAGTATTTCTCGATTACTTTTTCGAAGGAACGTATCAGATTTTGTAAACAACGCATTTGATCGTCGATTTGGCGTAACTGGTAGCTCGCCCCATAATTTTCCCAACCTGTTAGCGGTGTTAGTATGTGGGGTGAGCTATTACTTATGCCAAATCGACGTTAAAATGCGTTATTTACAAAAGCTGATATGTCCTTCCGAAAAGTAATCGAGATTTGTAGTTATCATTCAGGCAAGGAGCGCTTGCGCCATCGCATCGAGGCGACGCTGCTACCAGCAGCCAGTGATCTCGACGGGAACGATGCGCAAAGTTCGAGGTGCAAAACTCGAACACTGCGCGCTTGACAGGAACCGCCTTCCTACTGCTGCTGCTGCTATCTGCTTACCCGCCGTCCGAAGTGAAAATGAGTTGAGGCACATTAGCAGCGCTGTTTTATAACTTTTCTGATTCAAGCAAATTGTACTTGATTATGAGGACTGGGTTTGGGGAGAACGTTTATTTCATGAAAACAGTGATAACATTTTCACTTTTTATTTGTCCATTTTTAAAACAGTTTTTTTTTATGAAAAATTGAAAAAAAAAGTTTATTGCAACAGCTAGAAAAGTATTTCCTATCGATTGGTGTGTTCGGATTTTAATTTCATCTATAAATGACAAAGCTTATAGCGTTCAAAAAATTACATCTTTTCGTGACGGTCGCAATTTTAGATTTTCGATTTACTCCCAGTACCTTCACGTAAGACGTAGTCAACG